ATTTTAGCAAGACTTTCATTTCATAAGAACGCTCTCGTTCTATTAGTGATCTTTCATCTAAATCGAATAGTACGAACACATCTGATTGGCTTCACTGCGTTACTGTTCAATTATTGGTTAAATCTCGTCGTATTCGTCGCTGCTGATTGGCTACACTGCGTTACTGTACAATTATTATTTAAATCTCGTCGTATTCGTCGCTGCTGATTGGCTACACTGCGTTACTGTTCAATTATTGGTTAAATCTCGTCGTATTCGTCGCTGCTGATTGGCTACACTGCGTTACTGTTCAATTATTAGTTAAATCTCGTCGTATTCGTCGCTGCTGATTGGCTACACTGCGTTACTGTTCAATTATTGGCTAAATCTCGTCGTATTCGTCGCTGCTGATTGGCTACACTGCGTTACTGTACAATCGTCATACATATTTATAAGATAAATTGTGCCTCGTAATGTGATATTTATAACATGTTGGTAACCAATCTTATATATATATATATATATATATATATATATATATATATATATATATATATATACGAATGGTTATCGGTGGTAGAATTAGCCTCCACATGAAACGTTATTCTTATTTCATGTTAGAAGTTCATGATCGGACCGCTGAAGTATCATGAGCCAAAATATATTCATGTTAACATGACAGGCTGTTTCTGAAATGTTTTAGTGTAAATGTCCTTGATAAGCGTTGTTGGAACACATTATTATAACAAATAAATTCAGATCTTTCATAACAACAAGTTATTCAATATGTTTTACTGGTATTCGCAAATCCCGTGGTTTTCATATATTACGATTTATAAATATTATATGCACAGTCGACAAGCTCGGCGTGACTTTAATACGGGTGATGGCTAAAATCAATGTATATATTATGAATTACAACCAATATTTGAATCATGTTCTGTACAAATTGTTATTTACTAACTTCGTAGATATATGATGGTCATTAATATTACAGTTCTATTTTATTTATGTCAGAGGTTTGAGTCAGTAGATATCAAAACTATTCGTGCCAAAAGTGTTACCCGTTATCGTTCTGCAAGGGTAGCGATTCGCAAAGTTATACACATAGTAACCACAACACATGAGCTCTGCGGGTTGTTAAATCTGTATGACATCGCTACTGTGCTGAAAATTCGTATTATTGTACTTACAAAAAACGTGACGCTAAATCGTATATGGCATCCTCCGAGGGCACAAATCTACAAGTTAAAAAGGTTTAAAAAGAGCTTATTATATGGTTTTATCAACCTATATTTTCAGTATATTTACCTTGGCGAATAACTAATATATATTTATTTAACGTTGTAACAAGTCACAAGTCCATGTGAGAAAAATAAGAATATACTACACAAAGTACATGTTGAATCGCATGACATTAAGCTTTTCAATTTTTGATGATGAATATTAATATATGCCAACAATTTTAAAGGACACTGTATGACGAATTAGAATTCGTTCTACATTGCATTTAACGTCACATTTAGTCTATATTTGTCTGGTTTTAACACGCTTTTGAAATTACAATACTAAATACTTAAATATCCGAAATTTCCTTTGCCC